ATATTCCTTAATATATTTATAAAGGTTAACTACTAAAAGGCCTTTAAGGTATTAGGGCTTATTCCTACTAATATATAGGTAGTGTTAGATTACCTTAAAGTGTAGCTACATACCCTACTAGTAGTACCTCTACCTAAAACGCTGTAGTAATCTAAGATGCTAAGCAATACACACAAGTTTAGGTCTTAATCTAAGCTTATAAGCAACTCCTTCTAATAATTACTAAGTATAGTATAAGAGGGGTTCTTAAAGCTTATAAAAGGAGCTAAAGAGATACTATATAAAAATGTCCTTATTAAGGCCCACGTGCAAGAGCTTAAAGAGCAATTAGCAGTAATAACTAAGAGAAAATTGCGTAAGAGAAAGCAGATTCAGCATAGTGGCACACTTGAGTATGGCCCAGCAGCATTGCAGGTAGCTGCTGAGGCATGTGTAGCAGCTTAGCTATCTAAGAAGACTTAGGGTAGAGGTAGTTAACTAGGAGCTTAGTTAACTGTTTAGCGCTGTAGGAACTACAGCAAAACTAGACACAACGCACAAACGTGCTAGGAGGGTGTAGAAATATCTTCTAAATCTAATGCAAGCACGCAGTATACTAGGTTACTATTTAATAGTAAGTAGTTGTAGTTATAGTAACTTGTGTTAGTTGTGCTAAGAGAAAATGGCTAGTTCAGTGATATGGCCGGCTCGGTGATAATCTACGTTACTGCTTAATTTACTCTGCAAACATCTATATATTATGTTATCACGTTGTTGAGATATACGCTTGTAGAGGTGCGCAAAGTTGGTAGGGTGGCCCGCTCGCTTGTATGGCCCGCTCGCTTGTAAAACATGTTAGTGTATTGCTATAACGTACCTCACGGGCGAGTGGCCGGCCCGGGCGAGTGACCGGATTTTGCCAAGACCACACCAAACTTCAACTTCTCTTGCGTATTACAGCAAGTTACTGCAAGTTACTGTAACTTACAGTATACAGCACTAATCTACAGTATCTTGCAAATCTTTTATACACATTTACGTATTGTGCCCTACCTTACTACACCTACCACAGTGTAGACTGGCGGATGGGTACCATGTACCTAGGGTAGGGTATAGGTAGGGTATAGGTCGCACGGACGTAGGTATAGGTAGGGTAGGGTCGCACGGACCATAGGTATAGGTAGGGTAGGGTTGCACGGATTATAGGTAGGGTAGGGTAGCACGTGACTGGGTATAGGTATAGGTAGGGTAGCACGTGCTAGGTATAGGTTTGGTTTGGGTATATTACTAACCTAGTTTGTATACAACTAACCCTAGGTTGTACTAGTAGATTCTTTCGCATACACAATACTTAGAAGAAAAAGCATCTATAATTTATTAT